TCTTAAAACTTGTTCATGATTTGTCCCAATAAGATTAACCTTTATGTGTCTTGTTTGTAGAATTTTTAGTTCTATGACCTGCAGCCTTAACTAGTATGGGAGATGATTATGATCCTCTCAGGTCCTCATCCTCTGGGATGATCATCATCATTTCTGGGATGATTTTTCGTCACTGATAGTGAAAGAACAACTAAACTTAGAAGAATTAATATTCGACTAATTTGACTAAACTAATATTGGGAGTTTGCAACATCTGCTGATGTAGATTTGACTATTTAAACTCGGCAGAACTATTCGCATACTTTGCGTCATTAAATAATGGCATGTGAAAAAATTGCAGAATTCAGAATAACACGAGCAATGGAGTCCAAGAAATGTGTAAGTATATTCATAAGTATATTCATTTACTCATAAGGATAAACACCAATCTCAAGTAGTGTTAGTTAATTCATTATGCTCGCATATCATTCCTGTGGGTGGTAGTGGAAAAGGTTGCAGAGCCACATAACTTAGTTTAGTTCATTTATTATGCACCCCATACCCATCTTGTGGGCGGTAGTGGAAAGGGTTACAGAGGCACATAATGGGCTCAGGTACTGAACCCCACAATTCATTTAGCTAAGCAAGTTACAAAATTCAGTATAAGTAGTCACATCATAAATGGGTTCGAGATCGACCACAAGTACAGTTTCTAAATTAAGCAACTGACATATGTGGAGAGCTAGTGTCACAATTTATATGTTTGTCCTGCACACCGCCCCACATTCAGTGGGCAGTGGTGGATATGTTACAATAGGCAGTTATGGGATAGCTTGCCCGAAACGCTATGCGTGCTAGTGGCTATACAAGAATGTTAATTCAACTTATTTTTTATATTCTCTGTTAACTCCCAATGTAACTTCTTGTGTATAAATAAATAAAATAATAACAATCACTTAGTTACTACCTACAGTTTGCAAACTGCGGATATTTGGCTAAAATTTCTGGTAGCAGATCATTTTGGATGAAATATTTACACATCGTTGGAACATTGGTTATAGAATTGTCTCTAAATTCACGTATCTTTTCGCACTCCATCTACCCTAAACACATCTCACGGTCGTCCCGGGAGCTTAGTGTACCAAGCGTGTGGCAGGGTGAAGGACCCTGGCTGGCTGCCGCCCCTACAACACTTCCTTCTTGCTATAGTCCCAAAAATATAGAGCAGCGCTGTGGATGAAAGAAGCTTTTTTACAGTTTCAAAGTGTTTAAGAATCAACATCAAACATATTCAACATGAAGGTAAATTCAGAATTCATCGTATATAACAGGCTCCTGTGCTAAAGCTAATTATATAAGTATTCATCCAAAATAAGTGCCAGTTCATACATTATATATTATAATCATGAAAGTACTACATAGTTTTGAAAATTACCAGACATATCCCAGAAGTCCCCAAACTGGTTCCAACTATAATAGTGTGTTTAGGGTAGTAGGGGACGAGGATAGGAGAGAGGAGTCATCACGGCCTTGAACCAGCGCCTCGCCGGCCACTTGCCAAATCAGTGATTTCAGAAAAATCGAGTCTGAATACAACACGGTTTATTTACTCTCAGTAGACCAGTTTATTGAGTGAAATAATAGATAAGATAAATTAATAACCATTAAAAACTGGCAAACACCTAATAATCAGAGACTAAAATTAAACAGAAGACTAACGGAGAGCCATAGTAACTCACCAAGTTGGATACTCATTTATTTATTTATTTATATATATACAAGAAGGTACATTGGGATTGTGAGGATACATAGTTTTTAGTTAGTTTAGTTCATTTATTATGTACCCCATACCCATCCCGTGGGCGGTAGTGGAAAGGGTTACAGAGGCACATAATGGGCTCAGGGACTGAACCCCACAATTCATTTAGCTAAGCAAGTTACAATCTTGATGAGCTAGTTACAAAATTCAATATAAGTCGAACCCATTGTTGATGTGAGGATACCTAGCATAGTAATTACATTCTTGTAAAGCCACTAACTAGTACGCGCAGCGTTTCGGGCAGGACAGAATTCGTTTCGGGCAGTTGAATTAACATTCTTGTAAAGCCATGATTAACAGCACAATAATCGACGGGAATCCTACAACTAAGTCGCCCAGCGTACATATGAAATTTAATACAATTTGTGCTGGAATCAAACATTTGTATTGTGACGATCAGTTAGTTTAGTTCATTTATTATACACCTCATACCCATCTTGTGGGCGGTAGTAGAAAGGGTTACAGAGGCACATAATGGGCTCAGGGACTGAATCCCACAATTCATTTAGCTAAGCAAGTTACAATCTTGATGTGCTAGTTACAAAATTCGGTATACGGCGTCACATCATCAATGGGTTCGAGATCGACCAAAAGTACAGCTTCTAAATTAAGCAATTGACATGTGGAGAGCTAGAATTATGTTTGTCCTGCACACCGCATTTATATGTTTAGGGAGCCGGTGGCTGAGCAGACAGAACACTGGATGCGTGATCCTGTGGTTCCGGGTTCGATCCCGGGCGCCGGCGAGAAACGATGGGCAGAGTTTCTTTCACCCTGATGCCCCTGTTACCTATCAGTAAATAGGTACCTGGGAGTTAGTCAGCTGTCACGGGCTGCTTCCTGGGAGTGGAGGCCTGGTCGAGGACCGGGCCGCGGGGACACTAAAGCCCTGAAATCATCTCAAGATAACCGCCTCCATTCAGTGGGCAGCGTGGATAGGTTACAATCACTCTTAGTTACTACCTACAGTTAAAAAACTGGGGATATTTGGCTAAAATTTCTGGTAGCAGATAATTTTGAATGAAATATTTACACATTTTTGGAACATTTGTTATAGAATTGTCTCTGAATTCACGTATCTTTTCGCACTCTATCACATAGTGACGGAGGGTGTGTGAATAATTTTGTTGACACAGTATACATTTGGTCAGGTCTACATCAGCAGATAATGAGAATTCCCAGAAATACTTGTAACCGAGTCTAAGCTGAGCAGTAGTAACATCTAGAAGTCTGCTGATTTTATTGTATGATCCATAGATGTGTGGCTCCTCTTGCATGATAGTACGATGATAGATGGAATTACTGGTGTCGATTTCACTTTGTCTCATTTTCTGTTCGGGGAGGAAAAACTCACGCCTAGTGGGGGGGGGGGTCCTTATTTATTATATATAAATAAATTTTTTAATTATTACATATATGAGTATTATAAACGTAAATGTATAAGTAGGTACATAGAAATAAATATAGATGCAAGTATATAAGTATTACATAAGTAAATGTAAATTTATAATTATTGCTAAGTACGAAGGTAAGTATTACATAGTATGTAAGTATGGCAGTGCATAAGTATAAATAAATATTTACATTTACATTTTTTTCCGGTTAATGATAGAACTTAATTGTGCCTTTATTAGTATATTTATGAAAGATAAATTAACCTTTGTTATTTACGATTTGCATGTTCCTAGCATTGTACCTTCTTGGTTGTATGCTTAGTAACATATTAAACCTGTTCTTGAACAATTATGTACTAGCTGAGTTACCACAGCTACGACAGCATATCACTCTGGGGTTCCTGCGGAGCACCGCCATCCTGCAGGCCAGCGATGCCAAAACCCCCACCCCGAAGGGCAAGTGCCAGCTGGCTGTGGTAACCGTCCTCACCTGGGGAGCTGGATGACGTTCTGCTTGACGGAAGCGTTGTATGCCTCGCTCTTCCACCTGCCGACCGCCGTTATCGGCAGTGTCCCTTCTGACGTTCCTTCTGAGTGTTCCTTCTTGGCGTTGTATGTATGCCAAGATGGGACAGAGAGACTAGGGGTATGTGAGAATAACGTAGGCCATAAGTTACATCAGGGTTAGCCACCTTGCCGTGTGCCGTTGCTTGCTTCCTTGGCCATTGTTGCTTGCCTGGCCTGTGTCCACATCTGTGGCCGTACTTCCTGGTCTGCCATTAAAAAAGTTAGGATTTCCTGAACAGAAAAAGATATAGATTCGGTCGTACGAGGCTGCCGTTGCTAGTTAAGCAGCATCTGGGATGGGATCAATGGCCGGGGCGCCATCCCGAGTATGAATAGGCAAGGCAGACTACTGGATGTTCTTGTGAAGTGGTCGTACTGCGGCGGGTTTGCTGTGCACTGCCCTTAGTATGCAAACCAGGTCGTCCTCGTGGATATCATTGTCGCTGTAGCCCGCCCTTGCAGAGACTAGCCCTTCAAGGCCAGGCTCGGTGCACAGTGGCTGTAGGCAGGGTGTCGCCTGCGGCAACGCGGGCAGTAGTGCTTGAAGGTATAGGTGGTGATGGTGCAGCCGACGCCCCCTCGAGTGGTAGGTGTAACAGTAGCCAGCCGGGAGCCGGAGTGCTGGTCGTTGGGGTGCGGGTGCCCGGCCGAGCGTCCGGTGGCATGTCTTGGCACCAGAGGCCTGGCCTGGGAGATGCACTGGACTGAGCAAAGCTCTAAATCAAGCCTGTATGCACGCCAGGAGCAGCCCGATTTTTCCTTGTCCTGTAACACTGTAAAGGTGTTTTGTATTTAATATATATATAGAACAGGAGTCACAGACAAGATTTCGAGTGGCGTCAGGTTGGCGGCCCCGAGTAATTAAGAAACTCTCACCTCTAAGTGTTAATGACCACCAAGTGACCAAGGTCAGGTTGCGGGAAGTTGACCTGGTCTCTGCTAATCTCATAATTGCAGGCGGTTAGCCGGTGGGGGGGGGGGGGGGGACCGTCAAACATGCCGCCAATTTAAGGTGGGGCTTGGTAGAGTGCCTGGGGCTATCTACTTGTGGGCAGAGTTAGCTAGTTGGTCGCCAGTATATACCCATGGTACTATACACTCGGGAGTATTATTTTTTAAATATTATGTATAAATATCTTATTGTTAATTTAATTTTTATTGTTTTGAATTTATTTATATATACAATTCTTACATTCTTGTACAGCCACTAGCATGCATAGCATTTCGAGCAAGTCCTTAATCGTATCAGTCCCATGATCATATTTCCTACGATGTATGCATTTCTTTCAAGTGAACCAGTAGAGTGAGGGAGGGAGAGTCATCATGGCTGCGGGAATCTTCACTCAAGTGACCAGTAGGCGCAAACTTATGGAACTTGCTGACAGCCTCATGGCGGACCTACCCTACTCGGCCACTGTGAGTTGACCCTCACCTGACTAGCTCCGGGAGAGAACTGTGAACTAGCTAAAACCTTAACACTTCCAAGTGATATAGTCGTTGCGGTTTGACAATTTCTCCTGATAATTCCCTTCCCTTCTTGAAAATTATTTTTAAGAAGCTCCTTAAACTATTTTAAATGATGAGTGCCGGTTATGGCTAAATTTAGTTTCAAGAGAAGAATTGGACCATTTCATTATTCATTGATCGCGAGACAACTTCATGTATTCAGTAACCGTGAGTCGATTTGCCTTAATTTATAACAATGAGTCAACCTTTCTTCCTTGGCAACTGTGAGACAAAAACTGTTTCAGATGTATTTTTGTTTTAAAAATATATCTGATTTTGACTTAGAGTTACAAATACATGTTGACCAGACCACACACTAGAAGTTGAAGGGACGACGACGTTTCGGTCCGTCCTGGACCATGAAAATGGTCCAGGACGGACCGAAACGTCGTCGTCCCTTCAACTTCTAGTGTGTGGTCTGGTCAACATACTTCAGCCCCGTTATTGTGACTCATCGCCTGCATATAAATACATGTTGCTCAATACATTTATGAACTGAAATACATTGCTTTCAACATTCCCCCACTGAAGGACTACAAAATTTTGGTAATTATTATTATTTATCAAGTAAAATATTAAAAAATTATTGTCTTACTATAATATTGCACAAAACATTGCAATAATATAATTTTATTTCGTAAAAATTCAGTTAATTAACAAGAATGAGCTTTTGAATAAAGATAAGCCTCATTTTTAATACTAATTTTTGTTTAGTTGTTAACGTGAATGTAAACTATGGCAGATGTACAACAACCTGCTCCTCCACGCTCGAGGGTGGCTGTCTACGACCAGGTTCTATACCTTGGCTGCCCAACCTCAGTCTCACACACTCTTGTGGCAGAAGACGGTGAGTACTGCGAACCTCCTGCATCCTGTCCTCTCGCATAGTACATCGCATTTCGACGTATAAATCCCCTAAGACCAAAAATTGATGTGCTACAATTCATAGCGGCTCGCAAAATCGATGCGATGATCAGTTTTCTATTTGCGGGTCATTAGTTAGGTTTGGTTCGGGCAATTTAATACATCATTTTAGTGATGTTGTGAAGCCGGCAGCCATACGCCGCCAAAACCAAAATGTATTAACAGTTTTGGAATCAACCGCCTTCTAACTTCAATTATTCAAATCGTCTGCTGTACTTTTTGCAAAAGATAAATTTTTAATATTTTCTGCCACATTTGTTTCGTTAGCTTGAATCTATGACCTCTTGTACTTGCGTGCGCGCATTTCGAAATAATAGACTAACAGTCGCTGGTGTTCTTACACTGTTTCTCTACCTCTAGGACGTGCCCTCCAGTATTGCCGTCTACAGCCGGGAAGCGGAATTCGAACAACTGATAGAGGCGCTGAGGGAGACGCCTCTATTGAACTGGCAACGACACCTGATGATCTACCATGTTCCCCACTACCTGGTTGAGCCGCTGAAGATGCTGGCCCAAGCGCTGGGGAGCTCCCTCGTCTATTGGGATCCAAATTACACATTTACTTACCGCCCTAACATGGATACTGAACTCCTCAGGTTGGTACTTACCTTACCATACAGTGAACTTTAAAGTGGCAATATCAACCGTGCAGGCATATATATACACCAAGAAGTGTCCTCCATTTCTCGGTATACACACTGACAGTTTACTTTAGTTCTTGACTTTGTTCAGGGCTAAAGTATACTTGCTGGTTGGTCAGTAATCTAGTGTCTAGTAATCTAGGCTTTAATAACCCTCGTGCAGTTGATAGGCCTTAAGTCTTAAGTCCTACACCAAACTAAACTTCGCATAGAGTGGAAGCTCATGTAGAAACTCAGGAAAGTGTTTACCGGTTCAGTTGAGGGAGCTGTTCTAGGACTACGCAGGCTTCATTCTGTTAGATGTTAAAGATGTCTTGGTGTGTGTGGCAGGGATGGCAAAGACAGTTATTAACATATGTAAGGTGGGAAAGGAAAATAGCTTTAATAAAACGGAATATAAATAATATGAATAATTAAAAAAATAGACAACATTTAACTGCAATTTCAACAATTCAACAGCATGAGGATACTGAATACGTTGTAATAAATTTGAATGAAATTTCAAAAGCTGACAAAAATGAAGAAATAATTAAACAATGTTAAGCATAACATTATTATGAGAACACATTACAAGCATTAACAACAATTATTAAGTCTGCCATGATATCAGTTGAATGCATGCATGATCATACTTGGGTCCGCAGTGACATATCTAGGGTAGGGCATGTACGCAGGCCTCCATTGAACACTTTCTATTTGTCACAAATACTATCCTCAGATAATGACATAAATGTTCTTCACATGCATATCTGTCTTTGAATGTATTATTATATATAGTTAAAGGATATATTTCCTACCGTTGACTATATTGCATACTTACCGCCTTATTGCATTACTGTACGTATTAAAATCCGATATTCATGTTCATAAATATTGTGAGGTTCGAGGTCAGAACTGAAGTTAAATGTATGATTAACCTGGACTGATGGAACTTGCACTACCAGTCAAACACTTCTCTATGCTGCGTCAAAAGGGCCCCAATTAAACACCAAAGCATATATTAACAGGCCGTCCAAAGACAGGAGGTAAGACCCGGCCTCCAGGGAAATAGTCCAAAAATTGTACCTGCAAGGGATGATGTCCTCTTGTGCCTGGGACACAGGTTATTTAAAATGGATGTAATTACTTTCACTTAATATAATCGTAATCTCACACAGAAAATGACAGTGCCTGTTGACATTTACTCTACATTCCAAAAACTCATTTGGAAAGAGAACCTAGCCCTCAAAGACTAGCAAAGGCTCGCACAAAAGACTTAAGGTGAAGCACAGTTCAAGAACATTTCCCCCCTGTCGCATATAATCCTGTCCAGGAACGGTTAAAGCACAACACACACCTATTAGTGTCCCTGGAGTTGAAACACTAATCCTATCCAAGATAATGTGCTCAATGTTACAACTTGGAAGGTATTACAATCAATGGAAAGTAAAGTCAGTGGCCAGTATGAATGACTTACCTGAATGATAAAATGCTGGCATTCCCAGCAATAATCGTCCATATTATGAGTGACCAGTGAGGATTATAATATGGGTGTTTGTTTAGTATTAGGAAAAATCAAAATCACACTATTTTACCCAAAAATTTGTGGAATAGGCTCCCACAGTAACACTATGTGGGCATTAGCCTAATTTTGTGGGTTGCTAGGCCCGGCCCCAGGAAGAAACTCCCAAATACGTATCTAAAGGTAGATTACGATCTCACCAAGCCCACAGGAAAGAAAGATAGCTTGGTAACAATCTATTTATTAAAAAAAAAACTCTTACACTCATAACAAATGATCTAGCCTTCTAATTAGATCAGAAGATCTAATACTTTAAGATCTAATACTCTCGTTGGATAGAAGCAAGGATTTACACCAACAAAATACTAGGCAGGAATTAACACAGGTGGAACAGTTAATATTACACACTGAACACCGGTACATCCCATCAGTACCATATCCTCTTCCAGGTCACTTTACTTGCTACAAAACTGTGAGTGAGCTGTAAGTTGCATTTATAACCTACTCAATAAAAATATATAAATAAATAAAATAAAATAAATAAATATGTTTATTCAGGTAAGGTACATACATACAAGTGATGTTACATTAATGGATTGATATATAGATAGAGCTAGTATATACAATGCCTAAAGCCACTATTACGCAATGCGTTTCGGGCAAGAAAAACATTAATATCTAGAACTTAATACTAATTGAGCATAAAGAATAAAAAGCGTTGAGAACAAATACAAATAAAGATAAAAAAAAGGGGAACATGACTGAAAAAGCAGCACAAATACAATAGGTTGACAAACAGTGTTGATTAAAAAAAAAAAAAATAACAGACATGGGTTGACAATAGAGGAGTGAGGTAGGTTACAGGGAATTTATTAGGTAGTGTTTAGTTTTTATCTTAAACTGGTTGAGAGAGGTACAGTCTTTAACATGGTTGGGAAGGTCATTCCACATTCTGGGTCCCTTGATTTGTAGAGCATTTCTAGTTTGATTAAGTCATACTCTAGGAATATCAAAACTGTATTTATTTCTGGTGTGGTGCTCATGGGTTCTGTTACAACCTTCAATGAAGCTTTTGAGGTCAGGATTGGCATTACAGTTCAGCGTTTTATATATGTATAATACACAAGAGAGAATGTGCAGTGACTTAATATCTAACATATTCAGAGATTTGAGTAAGGGTACCGAGTGATGTCTGGGGCCAGAGTTGGATATTGTCCTAATAGCAGCTTTGTGTTGGGTAATAAGAGGATGTAAATGATTTTGGGTAGTAGAACCCCAAGCACAAATACCATAGTTGAGGTATGGATAGATGAGGGAGTAATAGAGAGTAACCAGGGCAGGGCGGGGTACATAATATCTGATCTTAGAAAGAATGCCAACAGTTTTTGAAACTTTTTTTGATATACAGTATTTAGAATGTGACCCTGGAAATTCAGCTTGTGGTCGATGAGAACGCCAAGGAATTTGCCATCTAATTTGTTACAAATTTGGGTATTGTTTATTTTGAGATTTATCTGATTAGAGGATTTATTGCCAAACAGAATATAAAACGTTTTGTCAATGTTAAGGGTGAGTTTGTTGGCGGTTAGCCAAAGATGGACTTTCTCTAGCTCAGTATTTACTGTGGCATTTAGAGCAAGGGGGTCAGGACTGGAGTAAATGAAGGTTGTGTTGTCAGCAAATAGAATTGGTTTGAGGTGTTGGGAGGCATTTGGAAGGTCATTAATGTAGATGAGAAAGAGGAGAGGGCCAAGTATGCTGCCCTGAGGAACACCAATGTTGATGGGTAGGGTGGGAGAAATTGTATTATTCACAGAAACATACTGGAGCCTGTCAGTAAGATA